TGCCTCCATTGAGAGAAGAGAATCTCCCAAGGTGAGGATATACCCAGCATGGAGACAGGTCTTTACAGACTGCTCCTGAGTTGGAAAAGTGTCTTCAGTGCCCCATCCTGACTTGCTGTTTATCCTGGTGCAGGATCAGGAAATCTGCTGATGGCTTTTCAGAACACTGCCTTGTGACCAGGCAATGATATGATGAAAGAAAGGAGAAACACCAGGGAAAGAAATATGTGATGTGTGTGTAAGGGAATGACCCCAGCTTCCTGAAGATGTTTTTCCCATTTCTGTGCTCGTCTAACCTCCTGCCCTGATTGCCCAAACAGACACATGGCCCCAGCTGGAACAAAATGGCCCAGATCTACCTTAGTGAATGGATTTGGGCTTATATGCTCCATTGGAAGGATTGATCCATGTAGTTTAAAGAGAGAAAAATTGCCAATGTAGCAAAACCTATCCTTTTCCCTCTGGTACTTTTCCTCTGCCCCTCCTGCTATGTGAACAAAGGAGAGGATTGCTAATTTTTTGGGTGAAAAATACATGGAAGCTAAAACATTAAGGAAAAAAAAACCCAACAAAACAGAAACTGGTTGGATTTTCCACTCCCCTGTGAAGCTGATGTGGGGAAGCTCAGGACAAAGTAGTATTTTTTTTATCAGAAAAAGGACAGGATCTGTCACTGGAAAGAGGACTGAAAAGCTGTAAATATAATGAGGTGAAGGATTGCTGCCGATTTTGTTAGCAGGGCAACGTCAGTAATTAAAGGAAGATCGACACTGTTTGGATTCATGCTAACGATTCACACCACAGCCTGGGGCAGGAATCTGATTTATTAGGCTTCATTCAGGAACAGTGTTGGGCTACAGGGCCCAGCTAAATATCTGCCTCGAGCTGATGTCTTTAGGTCCCAATAGTAAATTAAAGGCTGTAGGATGAAAGGCCAAAAGCCACATAAAAGCTCCAGGCTTGTTGCTTTTCTGCCCCATCCCTGATCTGCACAGGGGCGTGCCAAGGCCCCTTCTCCCTACATCCCAGCTAGGAATGCTGCAAAGCCCCAGCCCTGGAATGAGACTAAAACATTTGTCAGTGTTGGAGATAACTATTCAATGTATCTGAAAGCCCTCCAGCTTTTCTTCCTGAAATTCCTTGTTTCCAACAGCAGTGGTTTTGGGCTTAGCAGACCTGTCTTGGTGGGTTCCCTTAGGAACACGAGCCCCACTGGTTGGGAGGCCTAGTGCAGTGGGAGAGACCTCAGCCATCCACACCTTCACTGTCCCACCAGCTGTCTCATCAGTCACATCCAGTGCTGTGTCCAGTGCCCCATCCAGTATCACCCACACACTTTGCATGAATGTGGCTTCAAGTTCTGCTGCACATCACTGTGTTTCTCCAACTTTAGCTCAGCTTGTGTGTCTTGTCTGCAATGCATCTTCTTGTCTGACGTTCTTGAGCTGAGTTTCCTTCCATCCTTCAAAACCTCCTTTGATAGTGTTTCTTCCCCTTTTTTGGAGACTCTCTTCATCCTCTGGTGCCACTTATTGCTGAACACTGCAGCACTTTGGTTTACATCTAGGCTGAAGGACATACACAGATGGAGACGTGATATCAATTAGTGCATCCAATCTGCACATCTCCTTATGCAAATGAACATGTTATTCCTCACAGCTTTTCAGAAGTCTGGAGAGCTGGATATCCTCATCCTGAGAGTGGGATGTAAGTTGGCAGTGCTCAGACCCTGTATATCCATGTGTGTGAGCACTTCACTTAGGACTCCTTTGGAGAAACACTTAATACAGTCAGAGGAGTTGGAGGTGTGGTCCACCTCCTCATAAGTATTTGTCCAAACAGACAAGAATAATTACACACTGGGAGTGTTGATTTCTCTCTGTTGACTCTAAAGGAGGTGTTAAAAGCACAGAAAGTTTGATGAAGTGGATCACTTTACAAATCTCCCGCTCCCACTGAGATGAAAACTGGAATTCAGACTTTGCCATGGCTTTCAGGTTGTTATTAGGGACAGACGATGTTCAGGCAGGATAAACACATGTGTGCAGATCTTTTAAAATCATCTGTTCATTACAGCCTTGCTCCCTCTGCTAAAATCAACGGTGCTCTCCTATAAGATGGTTGCCGTGTCCTAGTCTACAGATTCCCAAATGAAGCAAGGCCATGTGTCAGAAGCATTTCTCTTGCAGAGCTGAGCTTGTTCAGCATGCAGTGAAAAAGGTGAGAGAGCAGGGAAGCTCCACTCTTGCAGATAACTAAGGCAATGCCATTTACAGGGCATGTGAGGAAGGACAAGAATGGCATCTATTCCAGCAGCCACTCTACTATATGTTCTCAGGGGAGTCCAGTGTCCTTGTAGCCTTTCCTTAGGTTGTACTCAACCTTGGGCTTGCCACAGATGGTTGGAATAGCTTTATGGTCTACTTGGAGAATATTTATTGAGTATTTCGGCTAATGCTTCCTCCTAAGACAAGGGATCTGCTCAACAGACCTGAACTGATGAGCTGTGTGTCTTTTGCCTCAGGCTAGAAATACTTAATATCACATGAAGGGGAACCAAGAGGGATAAGAAAGGGCATGTGTGTGTTTGTGTCTATGTGTATCAGCTTATTTAAAACCTTGTTAAAGAAGATAAACACTCGGATTTAGGACTTTGCTTCCTAGCACCCATATTAACTGAAGGAAGACTGGCAGCTTCTGCAGAGTGCATTCAGTGCAACACTACTATAGAATAGCACCTTTTGCAGGAAATGGGGATGAAAATGCTCTTGTTTTGAGGGTGAATTTCATCTCTCATTGTGGGCTATTAAACTAATGCATCCCCTCTGGAGTTAAGCAGCACATGGGCTGCTCTCCGTTGCAGGCATGGGGGAAGTTACCTGCACAGGGGAGTACAGTGGGCAGAGGAACAGCATCCCTGTGCCCATTGGGAGCATCTGCAGCATGTCCAAGATTTTCCAGAGTGACCACAGGCTAGACAGGGTAACAGCAGTACTGAGAATCCACTGCTGGCAGACTTGGCATGGGGTGTGGTGAGAAGACACAGTGGAGGCTGTGTTGCTGTGCTTTCTCTGATGATGTTCTTCAGCCATGTAGCATGGATCAGTTCCAGAAATTATATCTCTCACTTGCTGGACAGGCGTAATTACCTACCAGTAATTAAGGATTAAGCATTCTGCCCCAAATACCTTATTCCTAGTTCTCTACAGTTGAGCTGTGAGATGAGGCAATAAAACTTCTGGTGGAACATTAGAAAGCAGAGGTAGATAATATATTAAATAGCAGGATGCTATCTGCAGCCTGCAAAGGACAAGAGGGGCTTATGTGAGCCCCTCCTTACTGTCCCCAGTGCAGTCCCACCAGGCTTGTCCATTCCAAGTGTTGACTGGAGCCTAAAAGCTCACACAGAACTGGATTTTGCTGTGGAAGAACAGTGTAGAGCTGGATGTTGAGGCAGGAGGGTGGGAAGAGACATGTGAGCAGCAGGCTGAATTGAAGATGAGCCGACTCATCTCCCAGCCATGGACATGAAGAAGCAGATCACTGCTGTGCCTGGAAGAGGGCTCAGGGCTGGGAGAATGGTCTAGGGATGGGGAGGAGTATGCTGCTGTGCTCTGACTGCTCCTTTGGGCCTTTTATTCCCTGTAAGTGGTACATTCCTTCCAGCTGCTTTTCTGTATAGCTTCTGAGTGACAGGGAAAGTGCCCTAATGTAAACAGATTATCTGTGGTAGCTGAATAAAAATGCTCTTGGCTGCTGCCTTAGGTGCCAGTGTCAAATTTCTGCTCAAACCAAGCTTCATCCACAGCTTTGCTGGGTGGTGAGGGGTTGGGCTGGTCTTTGTAAAGACGTGATGTAATTTGCTTACACCCACAAAGGGTGCAAAGGGGGAAACACATTCTTTGATAATGGCTGTGTTGCTTTATAAAAGATCCTTGGTTTTCCACAGTCCTGTCATTTGAGAGTGGTGAGGTTTGTTGGATTTGCTATTGTGGAAAGGGCCAGTATAGGGTGTTGCTGAGGAAAGGGGAATGTGCTACACAGACTAAGGGGTTGGCCTGGCTAAGTCTGAGATTGCATTTTTCTGGAATAACCAGCACCCTCCAAAGCCAGGAGTATCAAACGCATCCAGGTGGCAGCAAATCTCCTGCTGACTTCTACTGGAAGCTGCAGGGTCTAGTTGGTGCTCCTGATTTTAAAGCAAAACTTGCTTACTTAGAGATTTTACTCGGTCACCCTTCTCAGTACTACTCCCTGCTGCCAGCATTGCCTCGTTTGGGCTCAAATTCATCTCTCTTCAGGCTCCAGCCTTCCTCACACAGCCCTGCATGAGAGATTCTTTGGTGGTGGGCAACCATGTGCTGTGGGTGTGTTCCTTAACTTGAGGGTTTTATCAGAACTTTGAAAGAGGCTGGAGAGACTTGAATCAGCACAAGAAATGTGCTCCTTGGATTCACTCCACAGTCAGCTGTGTAACGCTGGCGCACGCTGCTGGTTGTGATCAGTGCTGTACCATGGTAGCAGTCACAGGAGAAACTGTTTTCAGAAAAGAAGGTGTCTTTGAAAAGGGTCTGGGAACTCTTCCTTAGGCTGTCAGCAACCTAAGGCTTCACCTGCAAAGTCCCTTACATATTAAAATTCCATGTCTCCTGTGCCTGAAGCACCTGTCCAGAACTTAATGGACCTCTCTCCCTGGTAAAATGTCTAGTGGAGCTTCAGTCCCTGCATGGATCTCATGGTTTCCCAAGCTGTGCATGTGTTTCTAACCATACATTGCAGAGACTGGGATAGATTAAATCACATGGCCACACAGAAACAGCCATGAATAGCTCTCATGAGCCCTGACCTCCAGGCTTGGCCTTGTTTGCTGAGCCACATTCAGTCTTGACAAAAAAAAAGAAGTATATTTTCATTGCCTTTAACTACACAACTGTTTAATTTGTCCAGTTGAGGTCTGTATCAGAAGGGAATCCATGGGCTCCCTGGGGTTTTCATACTCATGGCTTGTGGTCTCACAGGCAGGGCAGGGCCTCAGTGTGAAAACAGATTTATTTTTACCTGTATCTATGGACAACAACCAGTGACTGATGCAACTCTAAAAGGCCCTGGTTGCATCTGAGGAGCTTCTTTAGGGTGGATTAGAGCATTTACTAATCATTAGCTATTTTGTCTATTTTTCCTTGTGCAGCAATTGAAAGGCAAGATCCTGGTAAAAGGCAAGAAGCTGAGCAGGCAGGAGGACCCCATAAATGAGAACAACAACCTGGAGGCTGAAGATGTCTCTGATGAAGATGAAGCAGCTGAAATTGAAGATGAATCTGTGAAGACCGAGATACAGCAGAAGGGGAAGGTAAGTAAAAGACGTAACAGTCCTGAAAAGAGGCAGATCTGGAGAGATAGAAAAGTTATAAACAGCATCTTTGCAAGGCTCTGAGGTCCTGCATCAGGAAATCCTGTCTTGTTAGCTTGTCCCATGATTCATGCTGGGAAACCACTTTTTACTTGGATTTTGTAACATACCTAAAGAAATAAACAAAGAAAAGCAATTGAAATATACCTTTAGTATGTTGCTAGCTAAGACAGTTCTCAGTGTGGTTTCCGCTACTCAGTTGGGATTATGTAAGGGTGAATTGTTGAAGTTGCTGGAGCTGGGGATCCTCATGCTTGCTCAGCTTAATGATCTCTGTCCCAAGCACAAACAGAGATCTTGCAGTCAGCCAAGCATGAAGCTTGGCTTCTTCCTCTAAAATGAGGCTGAAAGACCCTGCAGCTGGACAGACCATGTAGCATTTATGGAAGCAGTGGAACAGCACATGTTCAATCTATCTGTCTGGTTTCTAGAAATCTGTTTGTCATGGGAGTATCATTGGGTTTTTTTAGTGCTTTTCTAGTCACATTTTGGGATGTACCTGTACCCTCACTGGCTGTGTATTTCTGACCTGGAGGAGGGAGGAAGGGAAGATCTATGGGGAAAGGGTGGCCAGTTACTAAATCAATTTGTCTGACTATTTCTGGAAGGAAAATGCTGGCCTTTACACCAGTGTTTTGCTCCCTCATGTGAAGAAATTAATTCTTCTAGACTGCAGGTCTTTGTGAAAACCATGTCCCTTACGGAGCAGGTTCATAGGTGATACTGATACATTCAGTTCCACTGATGGCAAAGCTGATTGACATTGCCTCTGGATCTGGTCTGATCTCTGCTTCCCTTTGCTGATTTGCTTACTTTTTGAGGGTCTTACTCGTTTCTCTGAACTGTATAAAATAATGTGTATCATTTTGAAGTCTGTCACTTCCTTTTCTTGCCACTTATGGGAGCTGGTGGCTCTCATTTCACCCTTGCAGCAATGAATGTGGCTGTGGGGTAGAAGGCATCAAAGCACTGTGAGAACTTCCTAGTTCAAGGGAAAAGTAGCCCAAGCTCTGTGGAGCCCAAAACATACTTCTCTTCCCTTGATTTCCAGGTTTGCATGATAGGAACCAGAACAGTATGGAAAAATCATTGCTAAAGCTCTGTTGTGAAGTTTAGCAACTGGAGACAGATGTTGGTGCTGAAATACAAGGGGTCATGCAGAGAGCACAGGGAGGGTATCCCACCAATAAAGAGAATCCTTTTCCACCATCTTTCTGCATAGGGATGCCACTGAGTGTTGGTAGTGTCCATCATTTTCATGTGAAGATGGTGGAGAAGTGCCAGGGGCCCTAGAAAAAACACAATTATTAATTTTGTTAATGACTGCAGAAACTCCCCACAAACCTCTTGTTTTCCTGCTTTTAGAGTGACACCTTGAAGCTGGCCAAGGAGCTGTCAGACACAGTTGTCTACTGCAAGAGTGTCCATTTTGATGGCTTTGAGGACCCCAGCCATCCTCGAGCCTTCTACGAGATGTCATCGTTCACAGAGAGCAAAGCTCTGAAGCTAGCCCAGGAGTCTGGTATGTATGCTGTGCTCTGGAAAAAGGCCATCTTCTGTCCCACTCCCCCATAAGGTGACAGCTAGTGGTGGTTAAGCACAAGGAAAATGCATCCTGAAAGATGTGGGTTATGATCTCTTTGGTCATGCATGTCACTGAGAAACAGGGGGAAAACTTAATATTGTGGAGGCTGTTACCAAGAAGAGCATTTTATACAGGTGATTCCCATTCAACCAGACTGGTTAGGCAGAGGAGCAGTGTATACAGCAGCATCAACCAGAGATAAAAGCAGCCTCCATCACTGAAGGGGCCATTATCTTCTTTGTTCCTTTTTCTGTAGGAAACAGTTTTATTCATCACAACATCAGGCACCTGAGCCGGATCTACCCTGCAGGCTGGAGGACAGACTCTTCCAACTACAACCCCGTTGACTTGTGGAATGTTGGCTGCCAGATTGGTGGGTGTGACTGGGAGGTTGGAGAGGGTCAGCCTGGCTGGGTCACCCATGACCTGGCTATGGAGGGGTTTCAACTGAGGCAGAGGTGTGATATCAAGCCATTTCCAGGAAGAGAGGCTCAGTGGTCACTGGGAGAGATCAGCCCTTCAGCCAATGCTCAGTGACTTTCCGTAGACCATGTTCTGGCTCCCACAAATCCATTAGGAGAGCCTTTTCTGCACATTAGTGTGCACATCCCTGCAATTTCACTGGCAACAGTTATTGCCATTTAACAAAAGAGGAGGGAGCCAGGACTTAGAATCACTTGCTGAGAAGTGTGCTGAAATCTCTGGCAGAGACATAAACCAAACTCAGCTCTCTTGGGCCCTATAGCAAGGCCATAACCATAAAGGGCAAGCTGTGTCCTGAGCTGTTTCCTGTAGTTAAAGCAGTGCATCAGACCTGCTCCTAGGGTGTTGAGGCCCCGATGGTGTAGTGATGTCTCAGAGATTTGATGAAAAAAAGAGTCGCCAGGGCCTGTTAAGTGAATTCTCTTGTAACTCTTATGCAGGAAATCCGGTGCAGTGGTAAATGGGCAAGCTGGTGATTACATGATTTGCTCTTTTGGTGATGCTGGGTGTTGGAGATGTCCCAGTTCTGGCCCAGCCAGACATGAAAGGCTGCAGGTGCAGGACTCCCTGGCCACCAGCCATGTAGACCCACATGGGCTGGATGTGCCTGGCAGCATATGAGCTCACTGTGTCCTGCAGCCCCTGTGGGGGCACAGGTAGCACCCATTGACCTATTTGGCCTCAGGAGAGTCCCCAAGAGGCAACATCAGTTCCCTTAGGGTACACTAAGACCAGACCTGCATGCCTTATCTGACCTGAATTCAGTATGTGGGCAGCCTAAATAAGATTTTTTCAGAAGCCCTGAGTACTTGCAGCTCCCAGTAAAACCAGTATACTGCAGTTATCAAAGTCTTTCTGCAGGTGGAAAAATAGGAGAGTGCTTAAAATGCTTTTGACCTTCAAGCATTCCAGTGTATGGTGAACCCAGGACCAGAAAAAACTGTTGTCTGTCCTAGAGCTGTCTTAGAAATTGCTAAAGGGGTTAGCATCACTCTTGAGAAATGAATGGAGCACTAAGGAGTCGCTGGAGTCCATGTGCAATCCTTGTGTGGTATTAGTGAGACCCATTCACAGTGACTGCTTCTAGATTTGACATCAATGCTTTTAAAATAGGGACAAATTGGGAAAAATACAAGAAATCTGCCTGGTGTTAGACACCAGTGAGGCTTGATCTATTTTGGGCAGGAGACAATAAAGAGTTGATTTGATCACAGCTTCTGTACTCCTTCCTGGGGAGTTCAGACAGTGAGGAGCTCTCTAGTCTAACCAACAGAGGCATTAGTGCCCCTCCAGATGGGAATTGAAAATGGGCAGATTTGGGCTGGAATAGAGGTTTTATAATGAGGCTAAGTAGCCAGAGAAATGATCTGAGAAGGATTTGCTGACTTCACTGCAGGAGAGAACTCCTTCAGCATAGAAATGAATAGGTTTATCTAAAAGATGCAGTTGCTGAAATAGGTGACATAAATTCAGTGCAGGACACTTTTTCATCCTGTGGAAGGCAGGATGGCTGTAATGGCTCCTCCTGTCTCTATTATCTCTGAATGCAAGAATTCCTCAGGGATAACAGGCTGTGAGGATCAGGGTTTTATCACTGCTCTTTGAAGCATGGAAAAGCCAATGTTTATGTCCATGAAGTGCAATTTCATGTGAACAGAATTAGTATAAACAATTCCCATTGATTTATCTGAAAGTGACTGAATTTATTTATTTATGTTGCAGTTGCCCTGAATTTCCAGACAGCAGGCTCAGAAATGGATGTCTACCAGGGTCGGTTCCAGGACAATGGGTTTTCTGGGTATGTCTTAAAGCCAGAATTCCTCCGGGATGAACAAACCAAATTCAATCCAAAATCCATCACAGAAGGAACATGGGGGACAAAGAAGAAGCTTCTGCTTAAAGTAAGAATAGAAGTTGGAAAATGTCTCAATGGCATTCACCTTTGGGTGGGGGTTGTAGGTTATTCCTTCTCCTTCTCCTGGCCCCACCTAGGCAATGCTGTCCTAACCCTACTGATTTCCCACCTCTGGGGTCTCTTATGCACTTTGATCTTCCAGGATCTACTGACATGTTTAATACTGGGCAGGAGCAGAGGTTAATGACAATATTCACTGTCATTACAGAAAACATACAGGCAGATGTGCAATCAGCAGTGACCACTGTTATTCCTAAGTATCATCTAATCACTGTGGGGACAGCTAGAAAAGTTGCCTGTCCCTTAGCCAGCTGGCTGGGCTGGAGCAATGTTCATTAGGTGCTTTGGCTCATGACAACGTCCTCTGAAGGATGTCACAGCACTATCTCTGAAAGACCAGCACTGATTTGTCACAGCAGGTTCTGCACTCCTGGAGAAGGAGAGGGAATTTTCCAGGGAGTCCCCTCTCTTAATGATGTCCTGACTTCTTCCTCTGTTTCCTCCACAGATCATCTCTGGTCAGCAGCTGCCAAAGGTGAACAAAAGCAAAAACTCCATAGTTGATCCTAAGGTAACGATAGAGATCCATGGTGTCCAACAGGATAGCAATAAGAAGCAGACCAAAGTAATTGAAAACAATGGTAAGGAGTTTTCTACAAAGCTGTGTTCCCATGAGACACTAGCCCTTCTGTGTCATGTAGCAGAGTGTTCCTTGCCAGAGGTGCCAGACCTGCCCAGGTGCATGCTAGCCTGCTCACACTAAGCAGATACTTCAGGGGCTGTTGGACTTTGAGGGGTTCTTTTCCCTCTTCTCTCTCTTAAGACTTTTGGAGACAGAACCCCCCTGTAAACAACATCAGCCACCTGAGTTGTTTAGAGGTTGGCTTCCAGATTTCCAGAGCTAGAGCTTTGGAAATGCTCTAGCTCTGTAGTTGGACTTGGGATGCACAGTTCCCCACCAAGATCCTCTCAGAGAAGACTGTGGGGCTGATTTGATCCTGAAAGTGTCACTAACTCACAAAAGATTGAGGACTTTGGAGGTGTCTGTTCAAGCCCCTGCCCAAAGCAGGACCATACTCAAAGTTAACTTAAGTTGCTCAGGGTATTACCTGGATGAATTTTGAATATCTCAAAAGATGGAGGAGTATTTCTCATCAGTCATACATGGCTGTGACCTCCCTCTGAGCAGTGAGGGTCTGAATATTATGGCCTTCTGCACAAACACACACTGTGCTTTTCTGGGTGGAGTAAGAGCCAAGTGCTAGAAAGCCAAAGTATATTTTCCTCCCAGGTAACAATGTTTCCCTTTTCCTCTTTCCTGTTTGAGTAAATCTGGCCTGGCTCCTAAAGCTCACAGCCTTTTCCGTCACCTACAATAGTTTTTATAATGTCTCAAGTGAAAGTTGTGGAGGGAACATTTCAGACCTGCCAGGCCTGTTCCTCAGGGCAACTCAGCACTCCAGCCCTTGGCTGGCTGGAGTGGTACTGGAACCGTGTTGGAGTGATGCTGGAGGGAGTGTTGCCCAATGGAAAGTGAATCAAACAATCAAAACATCCATGTTGGAAAGGGGCAGCTGCAGAGAAGGGAGTGCATTTCATGGGCTGAGGTTTCAGGTGTGTGACCATGCTTCAGCAGCTCACTTGTTTCGATGTTTTACATTTGAACTCGATGGTCTTAAGGGTCTTTTCCATCCTAAATTATTCTGTGGTTCTGTGTTGGTGGGACTGAAGCAAGAGCCATGGGCACAGATCAGGACACAGCAGTATAGTCATAGAGCTCGAGAGGCTGTGGGAACCTGCTGGCTCAGCACCTCTGAGCATCTCATTTTGGCTCTGAGATGATCTGAGGACACCCCACAGATTCCAGTACGGTGAAACCTGCTGTTCCAAAGCCAATTACTTTCCCTCACCTTTCATGGTTTCTGCTCCCGTGGAATCAGCAACACTGGTTGTTTTTTTCCAAGGATGAGGGGAGTTAGTGTCTTATCTGAACAGTCCAGTTGATTTAGTCCTAGAAGAGTCCAAATAAAGTACACTAATGCAGCACAGGTATTTTGCTATGGCATTGTCCACGGGTCCATCTCAGCACCTTCAGGGCCAGCTGAACAATCCCTGTCTCCCACTGAATCACCCACAAACCCTCCATGACCAACAGGGTGCAGGTGACATTTCACTGTCCTTGGTCTCTGCTCTGCAGAGACTGTGCTGATGCAGCAGTTTCCAACAGGATGTCCCCTCCTCCTGTTTGCTTCTGGGGAGTGGTTTATTGAAACTGCACCTGCTATGACCTGGGTAGAGAGCACTGAGCTTGCTCTCCATCTCTCATCTGATGTGACAGTCTCAGTTTTGTTTGCTTTGTGAGTGTAGACCACAAGATCCGTATCTATAACAGAAGCAGGGCTAGTCCAGTTGTCTCAGACACTGCCCTGATACAGGGAAGCATAAGATATTTTGTCCACAGACTTGATGATGCTTTTGTGGTCAGATATACCTCATTAACCTTGTTGCAGATGGGGAAACTGAGACACAGAGTGGTGGCAGATGAATGTACCTTGAGCTATCGGTGAGGCTTAAAGTCCCAGTAGTCTGTCACAACACAAAGGCATAGCTCTCCTCTCTGCTTTCCCCTGGTTTTGGGCTGTAAAAATTTGCAGCTGGTCCAATGGTAACCAAAGACATCCATGTACCAGCCAGTGGAGCCTGTGGATCAGAGCTGAGTCCCCACTTTCCTTCTTCTCACTGCTTTCAAGAACCAAGGGCTGCACTGAGCAAGCTAAGCTGAAGGATTTATTAATTCCAGGTGGCAAATCAGTATCAAATCTGGGAACAAGATTCTCAGCACCTCCTAAGACCCTTGGCCTGGGTCAGATTAGGTTGTCTTCCAGGCAAAGTCTCCATCCATTTGCAAGCACCTCTGACCACCATCCTTACCTGCCAACATCTCTGACCTCCATCCTTGCTTGTGGGCATCTCTGACTTCCTTCCATGTTTGTGAGCAGCTCTGACCTCCATCCTTGTCTGTGTTGCCCAGGCTTTAACCCAAAATGGGATGAAGAGTTTACATTTGACATAGAGATCCCTGCACTTGCTCTGGTCCGGTTTGTGGTGGAAGACTTTGATATGTCAACCAAGAATGACTTCATTGGGCAGTACACCCTTCCCTTCACGAGTCTGAAGCAAGGTAAGGCCCTGCTCCCTGTTCCTCAAAACGACTGAGCCCTTTGGGAAGCTCTGGTGTCCTAGACGAGCAGCCCAGATCCATCACACCTTGAGTCAGAACAGTTTTTTTGGGCAGCCATTAACAGTGTCTCTGGGAAGGGTCCCCCTGGTCACCAGTGGCCTTGGACACCATATGTTACCCATGCTCAAAGCTGTGCCTCCCAGACCTGCCTGTTCTGTGGGATACTGAGGGCAAAATGCTCTGAGACTGAGAGATGTTTTTTGCAGGGTCTGGACAAATGTTAGCAAATACTTTTCCAACCAGGCCAAAGGCCACTTTCCATCTGTGTCTCTGCTTCCAGGTTATCGCCACATCCATCTTCTAACCAAGAATGGAGACCCATACTCCTCCTCCACCCTCTTTGTGTACATCAATATCCAGGACTGTGAGTAGCAGCTCAGCTCTTTCAAGGCACAGTGAACCTCATTACAGACCTAGAAGGAATTCAGCATGTGACGTCTGCCAATGTCAGGGTCCTGTCAATCCCAGCACCTTCCCTGGAGCAGTACATGGTGCTCTGTAGGACCCCTGATGTGAAAGAGCCATCAACCTTCTCCCTTCTGAGTGCTGGAAAATCCTAATGCTGCTGTTGAGATTAATCCTTTTGTACCTGTTTGACCAATCCAGCTGTGGTTTTAGTTCACTTTATTTAGATTTTTTAATTTTGCTTTTAGTGAGAGGATAGAGACTCCTTTTTAGTGAAGTACAGCTCTTGGGTTGGGTTCAGTCAGACATCTGGACAAAACACCTAACATCTGTGCAAGAAAAATTTCACCTCAGCACTGAAATCAGTGGCCAGGTGCCAGGTGACTTCTTGCAACTGCAGGTGTCAGCCATCTCTCACCATATGAAGTCTTAAATGGGGACACGATTCCCCTCTTTTCTGTTACAGATTGAAAAAAAAGCTGCACTACAAAGGCCCACGTTATGTAACTCGACTTTCCTTTTGTGTTGCAATAAAAAATACATGAGCACTACTCTGCCTGTGTGCCTGGCTGTCAGCCAGGTCGCTTTGCATTCAAAGCCTGGCCCTCATCCTGTGAAGGAGAAAGAAGCTGCCGAACGGCAGATTTCCCTCTAACCCAAAGTGAAACCTACTCAAAGGGACCTCAGAGAATTTCTTTTGCCGATGACAGTGGAAATATGCTCGACTGACAGTAGGGCTTTTTCTATTTTAATGCAGTAAAACTTTGTGTTTTTATAGAAAAATGTCATTTTTTTAACACAGAGGAAGTGTTGTAAATGTTAGCTGGTCCCAGTTGCACTGTAGAGGTAACCCAGCACAAGCACACAAGAGTGTTTTGAACAGCAAGGCAGTATTTATGGCAGTGAGTGATTTTTCTCCAAGTACAACTGCAGAGTTAGGGGAATATCGTTGAAATAAAATAATATATATTTTGAAGTGCCAACTATGTTATTAACAATGTGTTAGGCTATTAAAAGTTTTAAAAAAGAACCTGAAAGAGTCCAATTAGTTGTCACTCTGCCTCTTTGTCTTACTTGAATGTAACACACACGAATTTGGAGACAGACCTGCTTAATAACCTATCAGGCTTTCTGGAGCTTTTAACCCCTGGTGGTGGAGAGGATGGGCTTCTACCAAAGAGGTTATTGTCCTTTCAACATACTCAACTCACTCCTCCACCTATTTTGAGTCCAAAATAGCCTGGATTTAGTGATCCTTGGGCCCACTGCAAAGCTGGGTTTCCTTTAGTCCTCCATGGAGTAAGTTATGCTGCAGTAATCATTGCTGGATGCATTGATTTTTCCTCTTCACTGCAATATTGTGAGATGTTGTAAACTGTTGCCAAATTAAATGTGAATTATATCCACACCTCAAAGGCTCATATTGCATTAACAACCAGCAGGTGGAAGAGGGGCAGAGGCCAGTGAGGCAGAGCAGGATGTCCTGAAGTGACCTGGGCTCTCTTAGCTCATGTTTGGGATGGGGCATGTTGTTGGGAATGTTTGAAGGCCAGAGCTGACACATCTGGAACAGGTAAAAACTGCACTGGAACAGGTTTCCTAGAGAAGTTCTGGCTGTTCCATCCCTGGAAATGTTCAAGGCCAGGTTGGATGGGGCTCTGAGGAACCTGATCTAGTGGGAAGTGTCCCTGCCCATGACAGGGGGGTTGGAACTGGGTGATTTTTAAGGTCCCTCCCAAATCATTCTGTGATTCTATTACTCTGTGAAGTCAGATCAGTCTGCTGGATTGGCTGCAAACATTGCATTGTTTGGGTTGCAGGATTAGATTTCAGTTAGATCATTGAGCTAAAGAAGCCCTCACCTGCCTGCTGTGGCCAGTGCTAGAGAAGTGGGGGACAGGGAGTGGGGAGAGGTACAGGGGCAGGACCACACTATGCAGGGCCAGGATGGGCTTACATGGATTATGCAGAGAGGTCAGGTTTTCCTCAGCCTGTTATGTTCTTAAATAAAGGTAGGCAAGATCCATGGGAAGAGAAAACACTCCTCATCAGGTAGGAACATTTAGGGGAAAACTGCTGGAACCAGGAGGGAAAGTAGCTGAGGTGGAAATGGGATGGAGCAGAGCATGATGGGCCATGCTGCAAGGTCCTCTCGCCAAAGGAAGGGACATGGTCCATTCAGTTATCGAAGGACCACATCTTTAGAAAATGCTGGAGCCCCACACTAGGGAAGGGCTGTGAGGAAAAGAGCAGCAGAAACAGGACTTGGTCCACCAGACATCACAACAAAGTGACAAATGGCATGGAAGGGAGGATGTGAGTGAGGATCTTTCCTTTAGAAATCAGAGGCAGAGTATTTTTACTCTCCCATGAGAAGAGAAGAGCAGCAGCAGTTTCCATCAGTCTCAAATATCAAAAGGATCTATGATCTGTAAAATCACATGCTAGTTTCCATGTGCTGGCAGGAGCACTCCACTCGTGTTGGTGAGCATCATGGCCACGGGAATTAAAGCAATTTGTAGCAAACTGGCCTAACCTCACTAATCTGACTATGTTTTGGCTGGACATCACTTGAATGCACAATGCTTGTTAGGCCCATGGTCAGGGCTGGTAGGTGGCATTGCTGCCTCCTGTTGAGGAGCACATGCAACTCCTTAATTTGGGAGCTCACAGGAGTGTGCTGCAGCAGGGTGAGGCAAATATTGCTGCTTCCAGCAGTGGCAATAGAGGCTGAAACAGGGATAATGTGCACTGCTTCTCATGTGAACACAACAGAAGCAATCATACAGGTAATTTGGCTGATTTGCATCTCTGCTTGATGCTTGATTTACCCTCACAGGGGGTTTCAATGACTTGTGGGTTGGACCTTCAAGTAGAAGTGGGCTGAAATGGTAGCAGGAACATGGAGGAAATGATGTGTTTGGGGCTTATCTGAAGTAACTACCAATTTTTAAACACAAATATCTGTCCAGAAGACCCCATCATCTGGAGGTCCTTGCTCCAGCCCAGCCAGATGATGACGCTTCAGCATGATGATGTGGTCCTGGGTGTTGAGTGAGAACTCTTTGCTCCTCAGTCAACAGCTGCTGGCAGCTCCTCAGCTCCATCCACACAGCCCTGCAGCAGGGTGGGCAGTCAGACCAACTGCTGAACAGTCAAGCACCCCTTTTCATGGGTAATGGGCATCAGGAGCAGCATACATGGGCACAGGGAGACAAATGGTCCCAGCTATGTGGTGTTTGGGAACAGAAGGGGTCCCACCTCCTCAGTTTGTTTTTTTCTTTTCCAAAAAATCAAAAATTCCATTAAAGACCGGGTGTTTGGAGGACCTGTGGCCCTGCAGAGCTTTTACCTACTGCCATCCTGCCCCACACACTGATGAAGGACACTTAGAGTGGTGCTGCTGGCTGTTTATTTGGAATCACTGATCAGGCTGGAAATGCAGTAAAGCTGCAAAACCACATTGTCTGAGTTTTTAAACATAGGGGTTTCTTCCTTTAGTTTCCAGTTGTATCCCTTAATCACTGATTGCTCACATTTCTCCCTGCCCTCCCCAGTCTGACTGAACTCACAGTGTGGAATACACACTCTCAGCCCCATGGACATCATAGGGATGGAGCCCTGATAAAACCTTTGGTAGGACATGCTCTGCCTCAGGTCATACTCAAACCCCTGCTGGCTTCTTCAAGCCTTGGTCTGTGGGCAGGTGGGCTCCTACATTCACCTGGTCATTCTCAGGGAGGCCAGGTAAGATTGTAGATGCCATCTGAATGAGAAAAAGAATAGGTAGAGTCTTGTCTGGCAGTCAAAATCAACAGCAGTGTCTAATCCTTAGTCTCAACATCATCTTGAAATACATCAGCTTATAAATATGTTCTTAATAAGTGCTTTTTTTTCCAAGCCAGGTTCTCATGTGTTTTACCTGCCCTGGGCTATGCATGTTAGTCTACAACTGATTCATGCTGTTCTTTGGCAAGTTTTAATATAAGGTGAGAAGGTGCAGAACTGTCTGGTGCCATTCCACAGACCACTCCATTGCACAACTGGCTACTCCATTACCTTTTTTCCTACCTCAAGGCTCCCCCTCTGTCCTCCTAGGGCTTCCCCCTCCTCTCTCCTCCAGCATTTACATAGCAGCTGAAAATGGCCTAATTTTAAACTTCTACAAATGAAGAAAGATTATGACCTTGTGCACATGGCAATTTGCAAAAGGGAGAGGAAAGAAGAGGCTACAGTACGGTTGTGTGGCACACACTTGTCTTCGTGGCTATCAGCAATAAAGTCTCAGAAAGAGGCAAAAACATCCTGTCAAGTTGTTCCTGAAAAAGGTTTTGCCTCCTGGGGTTCAGGGTTTGCAGGGAGAAAGGAGTCATCCCTGAACAGTGGTTGCTAGAATAACTGCGTTGGAGCTGGGCCTGATTGGATGTCGGGTTGGGTTCACTGAGCAAATGCCTGTAATTCTTCCCTGCAGCTCCTAAGAGAGCGAGGGTTGGTCCTAGAGTCACTGGATGCTGGATGGCCCCTGCAGTCTCAGAAGAGTCCACATTGCTTCTTCTCATTCTGCTGCTTCCATTTGGGCATCTGGTAGAACTCTTCCTTGGACTTCCCAAAGATATCGTGGAAATCGGCGTCAGAGAGATAGCACTGCAGTGGAAGGAGAGAGCTATGAGAAATCAGCTTTGGCTTTTGCAGAGGCTAGGACACCTCCATAGGCTGCATGCCTTCCTCACCATGCCAGTGCTGACCTCTGACTCCAGGCCAACAGCTCCTCTGCAGCTGCCTGTGCTGGTGGTGGGGAGTGGAATGTCCCAGTAACTGTTCCTCATCCTGCTTCCCAAAGCACCAGGAGAATAAAAGCCCACCAGCCCAAAGAGGTGCTCTAGTTTTGAGGGATAAGCATGCTCTAACTGGAATTTGGTCCCTGCTAATCTCTGGTGTTGGCCTTTGCCAGGAGATCTGTTGGGCAAGACATCAGTCAAACACGGGTTGCAGGGAGTAGAGGGAATCAACCCTGTGTCCCTCCCATCAGCTTGCCTGGACCCAGCTACAGATGTTGCCAAAATCCTTGGGCTGATCAGAAATCTGAGATGTGTCATTTCTCCTGAAATTGCAACTTGGTGAAATGCAAGCTTTCTGACAAAAAATAAAGGAAAAATATCCTATCTTGAAGGAGTTTCAAATGAAAACAGTCACCTACAGCCCAAGTAAAAGGCAGATTCTGGCTTCATTCTCAGCTGTGTCACCTCGTCCCACAGGAACTCTACTTTGGATTTCTTGTCCCTCCAAGGACAGAGGTTGGGTGGCAGAGCAAAACAACTCCACCAGAAAAAAAAATTTTAAAAAATTGCTATTTAAAATTCATTTTCGGTCCTAAAAAATAGAATTACTTCAACTAGGGTAAAGCTACCATAAGGTGTCCCTGTCCACAGCAGGGGGGGTGGAACTAGATGATCTTTAAGGTCCCTTCCAACCAAACCATTATATAATTCTATGAATTTCCTCTCACAGGAAGCTCACACTTTTTGATGAGACCTGTGTGTCCAACCAGTATCTCCTTGAGTCTGAAGC